CCTGCCAGTGTCGCCACGGCGTGCAGACCCCGGCCCGCCCGGAAACGTCGGGCGCCCCCGGCGGAACCCCGCGGGAAGGTGGCGGGGAAGCGCCCAGAGGGGCGCGGGGAGCCTGCGGGTTCGCGCGCCGTCGTGGGCACCTTGGGCCGCTGCTGCAGTGAGGCTGGTGAGCAGACAGGAGATGCGCACACATGCGTAACCAGTGACCTGGAGCCAGATCACCCTCGAAACAGGTTTTTTTTTTAAGTGCAGTGGGCACAACGCACAAGTGCGCTTTGCCTCACCGTGTGACAGCCTTCGGTTGGCACCAGCGTGCCAGGGTCAGCGGGCGCAGGACTTCTGGCCGAAGGGCTGGCGGTGCTGCCCCCAAGACCCCATGGAGAGGGGAACAGAAAACGTGGTAGCTGGAATGGCTCTTTCTTTTTAAAAGGTCTGGCGGAATAAACACAGTTGCATTCAGACCTTCTCCTCAAATGAGTTATGGGAGGCAGCCCGTGGCCAGTCCCTGGCCTGAAGGTCCTGCTGTCCACGGAAGAATTGGTTTGCTTTGTTAGACCTCAGGAAAGGAGTTGTACCCTTGAGCTTGGCCGTCCCCTCATACACTATATGATCGTGGTCTGTGGAAATAGCCCGCAGGCCTTGCTGGTCCTTCAGACCACTGCAGATGTGGACCCCTAAAGACGGCTGCAAACCCTGCCTCCCATTCCTTCCCCTTTAGGACTCTTTTGGGCCTGCTTTGGGTCACTAGGAGTCGGACTCGTCGGCAACAGGGTTTTTTTGTTTTTTTTAAGGAGCCCTAGTGGCGGCGCGCGGTTGCTAACCGAAAGGCCGGCGGGTTGAACCCACCAGCTGCTCTTCCATAGAAAGATGTGGCAGTCCGCCGCCATAAAGATTACAGCCTTGGAAACCCCACGGGGCAGTTCCACTCTGTCCTATAGGGTCTCTGTGTGTCAGAATTGACTTGGCAACAGATTTGGTTTGATTTTTGTTTGGGCTTGCTGCCAGGTACAGGAACCAGCTTATCTGTGAACATCCACCTCTAGAAAGTCTGGGCTTTGGCTGTTTGGGGTGTAGTCTCCTTGAGATATGTAGATGTTTCAGCTTAACCTCAGCTTCCTCATTTTACTAAACTCTTTGGGTGTGTCCCCAGTTGAGGCCTCTCTTGGCATGGTTACCATGAGGTCTCCAGGCTGAGCTATTCCTGGGGTGCTGGGCGTCACCTGCTGATGTTAGTACCCCCTATGCCAGGACAGAAGCTGGGAAAATGCTGTCTGCCACTTCTTGAAAATGCCTTCCAGGTGAAAGTCGTTGCTGTTGATGAAAACCTGAATGTCTTCTATGAGGACAGTGTGCATTTTGACAGAGACCTTCCAGAATTTGGGTATGTACCTGGTGTGCGTGTGGAGGGGGGCAGTCAGTTTTGGGGTCTGCCCCTAACCGATTGCGTTCTCTCATCACACTGTTGTAGCTTCGTTAAACTGCAGCAGTGGTGGTCTTGATGGAGCCCTCAGAATCTCTTTCCTGGGCCTGAAATGTACTCCCCTATCCCATGCCAATTCCTTCCTTCCTTCCTTTCATTCATTCATTCGTTCGGTCATAGGTCAGTTGAGACTTACTTTGTTCCAGGTATTGTGCTAGGTGCTGGGGATTCGATGGTGAACCAAAAACTCCCCACTGAGTGGGTGTCTTAGTCATCTAGTGCTGCTGTAATGGAAATGCCGCAATGGGTGGCTTTAACAAACACAAGTTTATTCTCTCACAGTCTAGTGGGCTAGAAGTCCAAATTCAGGGCGTCGGCTCCAAGGGAAGGCTTTCTCTGTGGGCTTTGGAGGAAGGTCCTTGTCATCCATCTTCCCCTGCTCTAGGAGCTTCTCTGCGCAGGGACCTCGGGTCCAAAGGACACGCCCTCCTGGCATTGTTTACTTGGTGGTATGATGTCCCCATGTCTCTCTGATCGCTTCTTTCTTATATCTCAAAAGAGATTGGCTTAAGACACGAGCTAATCTTATAGAGTCCTGCCTCATTAACATAACTGCCACTAATCCCATCTGATTAAGATCATAGAGGTATAGGATTTACAACACATAGGAAAATGACATCAGATGACAAAATGGTGGACAGTCACAATACTGGGAATCATGGCTTAGCTAAATTGATACACATATTTTTGGGAGACACAATTCAGTCCATGACAGTGGGGAAGGCTGATATCAAAGAAACTCACAAAAGAGTATTTCGTTATAAACTCAGAGAAGGTCTCTGAAGGAAAAGAACTTACTTTTCCAAGTGCTTATTATAAAGGAATGTGATCCACAGTTGGGGGGTGGGGATTAGGAGGGGTTCCTAAGAGAGTATTGCTTAAGCTGAGATTTAAGTGAGGGGGGTTACCCAGGTGATGGAAAGGAGAGAGCATTCTAGGTAGGAGGACAGCACAGGCAAAGGTCCTGTGTCAGCAAAGAGCGTGGCTAGGGAGCTGAGAGGGAGGTGGAAACGGCTGGGCCATATAGGCCGTGGTATGGAGATTGTCTTTATCCTAAAAGCCACGGATAGCCACGGAAGTGTGTGTGTGTGACACATTGTATTTGTGTTTTGAAAAGATGTCTCTGGGTACAATGGGAGAACAATTGGGGGTATGTGGAGGAGTGTATGTTCTCTACTTTCCTGAGGTGGAAGCTTAGACTGTTGATTTGAGATCTTTCTTCTTCTCTAATATATGCATTTAATGCTATAAATTTCCCTCTAAGCGCTGCTTTTGCTGCATCCCACACATTTTGATATGTTGTATTTTTGTTTCATTCAAAATATTTTAAGATTTCTTTGACCCCTGTGTTACTTAGGAGTATGTTGTTTAATCTACAAATATCTGGTGATTGTCTTTCTTTCTGTTATCAATTTCTGGTTTAATTCCATTGTGGTCTGAGGATGTACTCTGTGTGATTTCTGTGCCTTTAAATGTGTTAACATGTGGTTCATGGACCAGAATGTGGTCTATTGTGGTGAATGGTCCATGTGAGCTTGAGAAGAATGTGGAGTGTGCTGTTGTTGAATAAAACCCAAACCAAACCCATTGCCATTGAATCAATTCCGACTCATAGCAACCCTATAGGGCAGAGTAGAACGGCCCCATAGGGTTTCCAAGGAGCGGCTGGTAGATTCAAACTGCTGACCTTTTGATTAAAGTCTTGTATAAACGTCAGTTAGATCAAGTTGATCAATAATGCTATTGAGTCAACTGTATCCTTTCTGCTTTTCTGCTTCTTGAGCTGTTAATTACTGATAGAGGAGTGGTGAAGTCTACAGTTAAAATAGTGGATGTTTCCATTTCTCCTTTCAATTCTATCAGTTTTTGCCTTAAATATTTTGATGGTGTGTTGTAGGTGCGTAAACCTTAAGATTCTTATATCTTCCGGTACGCAATACGGGGGAAACCAGCACAACTTGTACAAGGAAAGGTCATGGAAGCTCCATAGACACATCCAAATGCCCTGAGGGACTGAATTACTGGGCGGAGGGCTGTGGGGACCATGGTCTCGGGGAACATCTAGCTCAATCGGCATGACACAGTTTATAAAGAAAATGTTCTACATTCTACCTTGGTGAGCAGTGTGTGGTATCTTAAAAGCCTGTGAGCGGCCATCTAAGATACTCCACTGGTCTCACCCCTTCAGGAACAAGGGAGAATGAAGAGAATAAGATACAAGGGAAAGATTAGTCCAAAGGACTAGTGGACCACAACTACCACGGCCTCCACAAGTCTGAGTCCAGTAAAACTAGATGGTGCCCGGCTACCACCGCTGACTGCTCTGACAAGGATCACAACAGAGGGTCCCAGACAGAGCTGGAGAAAAATGTAGAATAAAATTGTAACTTACAAAAAAAGACCAGACTTACTGGCCTGACAGAGACTGGAGAAACCCCGAGAGTACGGCCCCTGGACACGCTTTTAGCTCAGTACTGAAGTCACTCCTGAGGTTCACCCTTCAGCCAAAGATTAGACAGGCCCATAAAACAAAACGAGACTAATGGGGTACAACAGTCCAGACACAAGGACTAGAAGGCAGGAGGGGACAGGACAGCTGGTAATAGGGAACCCAAGGTCTAGAATTGAGAGTGTTGACATGTCATGGGATTGTTAACCAATGTCATGAAACAATATGTATACTAACTGTTCAATGAGAAACTATTTGTTCTGTAAACCCTCATCTAAAGTACAAAAAAACAAAGATTCTTACGTCTTCTTGGAGAATTGACCCCTTTATCAGTATGAAGAGGTCCCTGGGTGGGGCAAGCACTTTGCGATCACCTGCTAAACTAAAGGCTGGCATTTCAAACCCACCCAGTGGCACCACGGGAGAAAGGCCTGGCGATCTGCTTCTATAAAGATGGTTGTTAGTTTCTGTTCTGTAAATTCTGACTAATGGTGACCCCATGTATGCAGAGTAGGGCTTCCAAGACTGTGACATTCGAAAGCAAATGGCCGGGTCTGTCTTTCGAGGCGCTTCTGGGTGGCTTTGAACCACCGACCTTTCGTTTGTCTAGTAGCTGAGCACTTAACTCTTTGTGCCACATAGGGACTCCTACTATAAAGACAACCAAGAAAAGCCTGTGGAGCAGTGCTCCTCTGTAACACATGGGGTTGCCATGAGTGGGAATTGACTCGGTGGCAACAGGTTTGGTGCTTTTTGGGGGGAATTTATCGGGATGAAATGCCCTTTTTTATCCTGGATAATTTTCCTTATTCTGAAGGCTGCTTTGTCTGAAATTAATATAGCTACTCCAGCTTTTTTTGATTAGTGTTAACGTGGTATACGCCTTTATTTATTGGTTTATTTTATTGTGCTTTAGGTGCCTATGGGGCAGTTCTACTCTGTCCTGTAGGGTCGTGCGTGATGAGTCGGAATCAACTCACAGCAGTGGGGTTTTCTGTAAGACACTGCCAGGTCCTCCCACTGGAGGGCTGGTGACTGTTTGTCTTGAGAGCATATGTGAAATGGGTGACATCTGCTTGGCTGTATAAACCTGTTGCCGTCGAGTCGATTCTGACTTATAGCGACCCTACAGACAGAGTAGAACTGTCCCATAGGGTTTCCAAGGAGTGGCTGCTGGATTCGAACAGTGGACCTTTTGGTTAACAGCCAAGCTCTTAACCACTGCACCATCAGGACTCCGCTTGGCTATATAAAAGGATAAAATTCCTTTCTGTCTTTACAATCTCTTCAGCGGATCGCCTGTGGTGCACATCATCTGATGTAATGCTTATTCAGTAATAAATTCAATAATAAATAATTTATAATGCTTATTCAGTAATAAATAAATAATTTCTTCCTCTTCTACTTTTGTGGAGTGCTTGTCCGGGTTGGTGGGAGATTTTGTTTTTGTTAATGTGTCCCCATCAATGCACAGAGTGGCAGAAAATCGGAGTCACCTGACAGGCACGTTCCCAGCTGGAGTTGAACAGGGTGACAAGGCCCTGCCTGCTGGTCTCGGCTTTCATACTGTAAACAAATGTCCTTTTCACGGGCTATTTGGTACCACATTTTTCGCATTTTTGTGCTTTTTGTTGTTGATTTTGCGGTTTAAAGGGGCCCCCAAGTGTACTGCTGAAGTGCTGTCTAGAGTTCTGAAGGTTGAGAAGGCTGTGATGTGCCTTATGGAGGAAACCGTGTGTTTGTTAGATAAGCTTCACTCACGGAGGAAATCTGCGTGTTAGATAAGCTTCACTCATGTACGAGTTACAGTGCTGCTGACTAGGAGCTCACCATTAGTCAACAGTGTATGTAAATCAGGTGTCTTGAAACAGAAACCCTGTGTTTCGCCTACGAGTAGCGGTTCTGCGTTCGCTGATTCGTTGTCCACGGTAAACCTTATAGACTGCGACTGCCTTGAATAATGAGAAGTGATTGTATATGGTTTGAAAACTCTCCTCCCATTCTGTGGGTTTTCTTTCAATTTTCTAATGGTGTCTTTTGAAGTACAAAGGTTTTTAATCTTGCTAAAATCCAATTTATGTGTTCTGTTGTTGCTTATGCTTTTTGGGCAGTATTTGTCAGATTTGGGTGTCAATGTTATATTTGCTTCATAAAAGGAGTTGAAAAGTTTTCCTTGTTTTCAGGTGTTTTGGCACAATTTAGGAAACTCCAGTGGCGTAGTGGTTAAGAGCTGCAGCTGCTGACCAAAAGGTCGGCAGTTTGAATCCACCAGGCGCCCTGTACTCGGTCTTACAGGGTTGCTATGAATCGGAATTGACTTGAGGCCGTGCAACAGCAACACAGTGATGGCGGGCCAAATTTGGGGGGAAGAGATCTTCAATTGATTTGATTTGGGTTTGGTTTTTTTGGTTGGTACAGTTTGAATAGTATTAGAAGTATTTGTTCTTTAAGTGTCTGATTTGGTAGGATTTTTCTGGGAAGCTCTTTGGGCCTGGTGTCTTTGGGGCGGGGGGTAGCTCTGGTGTTTTTTTCTTAGGAGCAATTGGCTGCTTTACATTTTTTAACTTTTTTTTTTTTAACTATATGATATTTTAGAGCTTTAGTTATGCAAGAGGGAGCTGTGTTGTTGCTGGGTGCTGTTGGGTTGTTTTTTGACTCATAGCAACCCCACGCGACAGAGTAGAACTGCCCCATAGGGTCTCCTAGGCTGTAATCTTTACAGGAGCAGATCACCAGGTCTTTTCTCCCATGGAGCCGCTGGGTGGGTTTGAACCACCAACCTTTTGTTCTCCTTGTAGGACCCAGGGTGGTGTGCATATCCACAAGGATGGGCTGACGGTCACTTCTCCCGTCCTGATGTGGGTCCAGGTAAGCATGGGATTCCTGTGCCCCATATGTCGCCTAGCCCGTCTTACCCAGCAGGCTTAGTGATTTGCTAGGAAGCCCAAAGGTAGCAGGTCATGAAAGTGTCTGTGGGGACGAGGTCCTCAGGGGAAAATTTAGTCCGCGTGGTTCCTGGGGCGGGCTCAGGCTCCGCTGGCGCTCAGTACTCCCGGGCTGAGAGCACGGTGGTTGGCAAGTCCTCTAGTGCTATCTGTAAAATACCACAGAGCACATACTCCCTAAACACCCTGCAGTCTGGCCCTGTGGCCTCCGTTGTACCCCCAGACCCAAATACAGCCCTTGGGGTCTTCGTGCCCAGCCCCCCAGGCTTCTCAGCTTCCAGGGCAGCGGCACTCGGAGTAGTAGCTTATGGCCTGACCAGTCAGGCTGGATCCATCCCAAGCCAGGCCTGCCTGTTCAGGACCAACAAGAAAGGAAGATCCCTGTGGCCAGATCTGGGTGGGCCCTGGGTCCACAGGACTAGGGGTGTGGCCCACACAGACAGGCGTGGGAGGGGGCTGCCTCGTACACCACAGGAGGCCCGCGTCCCTGAATCTGGAGACCAGCCAAAGCCAGCACTTCATGTGTCTGCTATAGCTTTTTCAGCCCTTCAGTACGCATTTCACCAATTCCCTATATTAAATTCTTTCTGTTCAGATAGCTAGTAAGATCTCTTTTTTGTCAGCTGGACGCTGACTGAGACATTGGAGGGTTGGGGTAAAGGGTGGATTTCAGCCAGACAGGCTGCCAGGGAGACGGTTCTGGGGGCATACAGACCAAGCGACGGTGGTGGTGGTGATGGGTTACAGGCAGTGGTCAGTGTCTAGGGGTCCCAATGATGATGTCAAGGACATCTGGTAGGCCAAGGCCTTAACGTGGGGAGGCAAGTTGGGGGCTGGAGGGCCAGGCTTGGGGTTGGGGCCAGGTGATTTCTAATCATGAGCAGCCCCCCCACCTGCCCCACGCCCCAGGACCAGTCCTGTTCCTAGCTTTGCTGGTCCCTACTCCAGCTGTGTCCCATCCCCTGCTTGAGTTGGCAACCAGCCACAGGCAGGACCGAAAGGAGCCCTGCAAACATAGGGTGGGGTGCTGGGTCAGGCAGCAGCCTGGGGGGTACTGGCCTCTCTGTCCTCTAGGAAGACACAGAGGCCGGGGTGAGTCTCTAACTTCCTGCTCTGAAATCTTAGGTGAAGTGTGGGGCTCTGCTGGGTACCGCCACCCATCCTACCCATGGGGTCTCGCTAGAAAGAAGATGCCAACCAGATGGTGGCGGGAGAGATGGGGGGTTGGGACATGTGGCCACCGTCTCCACCCACTCCCTCCTGACGCGCCACCCTTGCACTCCTGGACACGGACCCGCTCTGATGGGGCCCCCACCTTGCTCTTCACGAAAGTCTCTGTTGCTGTGAAGTTAGATCATTGACGTGGTGGGTTGATAATGCAAATAAAAGAAAACCAAACTCGTGCCTCCCTGTTTTTGCTTTTTCCGAGTGCTCGTAAGTCACAAATGGGAGACTACCAAGTGGAGAATCAGTGGTTTATGCTTCTTATTTAGAACGTCTTTAGCATAGTTCGCCTTTTTATTTGATTGACATGACTTGTTTATTTAGTTTATTCTAGCGCTTCAAAATCCTGAGTCATCAGTTACTTTGTCTTCCGTGCTGGAGCCCTTGTCTGTAATGGCAGGCGCTTACATTTCCTTTGGGAGGTTTGTGTATTTGCCTAATTCACTGGTTTATTACAGTCACGGTGGATTCTCTTTTTCTTCTCAGGCTCTGGATATCATCTTGGAGAAGATGAAGGCTTTGGGCTTCGACTTCTCTCAGATCCTCGCCCTGTCTGGGGCAGGCCAGGTTCGTTTACAGCAGCCTCCTTCTGCTCTGTGAGAGTGGCTGTCCTGGGTGATGGTGTGGCTGTTGTGGTGATGGTCCGCTAGGAAGGAAGGTGCTCCTTATCGATAGCCACTGCATACATTTGGTTGTTAGGTGGATTCGAACTGCCGACCTTTTGGTTAGCAGCTGACCTGTTAACTACTGCGCCACCAGGGCTCCACCTCAAACTTATCATGTCCCAAACCGAGTGCTCCATCTTCTCTCAGACCTCTTCCTTGGGTCTCTTTCTCAGGGATTTCTCCCTGTCCACCCCAGGCCACATGTGGAGCTATGGTGGCGCAGTGATTAAGAGCTCGGCTGCTAACCAAAAGGTTGACAGTTCGAATCCACCAGCTGTTCCTTGGAAATCCTGTGGAGCATTTCTACTCTGCCTAGAGGGTTGCTATGAGTCAGAATCAACTCGACAGCAACAGGTTTGGTTTCCTACAGATTTTGAAATGGACAGGGTGGGATTCCTCCCACTTTATAGGAATGAAAACTGAGTCTCATAAAGGCAGTGAGCTGTGAGATTAAGAAGTGGCAGGGGCAGACTTGGAACCCAGTTCTTTGGTGTGCGGTCTGGGGCGTCTTTCTGAGCCTCCAGAAAGCTGCGGCACTTGTGTGTGCAGCTGCATGAACATGTGTTTGGGTTTTCTCTTGACAGCAACACGGAAGTATATACTGGAAAGCCGGGGCCAGCCGGGCACTGACAAGCCTGTCACCAGCGCTCCCATTACACCAGCAGCTAGAGGTGACAGTGTCTGTGTGGTGGGAGTTTGAGAACCAGCTGCAAAGGAAACATTTCCCTGGGGAAGGGAAGAACCGCCCCATAGCCTGTGGGCCCTGAAATCTGGGGCTTTTATGCACTGTTGAGGGTGTAAGATGCTAGTTGTACAATAGTCCCAGGAGCCTGGTCTGCCCTGCTTCCCACAATGGTGTATGGTCAGAGGACCTGGGCTAACCCTCATCCCATGGGCCCCTCCTGCCCAGCACTGCCCTGTGTCCTTTCTCCACTTGGAATCTCCCATTGGTGTGCATTGCCTCCTGGTGATACTGCTGGGAAGTCAGAGGCTTTGGTTCCTCATTTTCTCCTGGATCCAAACCCCACAAAGCCTGCCCTTGTCTGTAGCTGCAGCCCCTCTGGTCCACATTTCCTGCTGCTTACAGTGCTCCAGTACCCCCATCAGAAGAACTTTTCTGCCTTAGGCTTTCTGGGGAGAGACCCCATGGGCCAGGCCGAGCTTTGGGGCAGAGCTTGTCCATGAGTTTCCAGGGCCCCATCAGGCAAGAGGCGCCCGCACCTGCTGTGCTGGGCGTAGGATCGCCAGCGCCAAGGTGGCGCCAGAGTCGGCAGGCAGAGCTCAAGCCTATGCCTTCCTCTCATTTCCAGGCCTGCTTCTCCATCAGTGACTCTCCGGTGTGGATGGACTCCAGCACCACAGCCCAGTGCCGCCAGCTGGAGGCCGCCATGGGTGGGGCCCAGGCTCTCAGCTGCCTCACAGGGTCCCGTGCCTATGAGGTAGGTAGTGCCTGGGATGGGCTGGGGGCTGGCTCTGGTCCCACCCTTGGGAGTCTGGGAGGACAGCGCTGGGTGACCTGCCTCGTGGGGATCCTGTGAGGCTGTGTGTGTGCTGGCTCTGTGGAGCCAGGCCGGGGCACTCTGGGCTCCCCTCTGCTAACTGGGGAGCAAGGGCAGACTCCTCTAGGTTGTTCCCAGGTCAGAGCTGAGGCATGGACATGACAGGGTGACAATGGGAGATTGGTGTCATCCTCTGTAAACTGGAGATAAAAATAGAACTTACTTTGGGGTTATGTAGAAGCTGAAAGGAATTGGTACATGTAAGACCTCAATGCAGTGCCTGGCGAAGTGAAAAAAATGAAGAGAACCTTTACTGCTGGCCTCAGCCACAGTCCCGGGGTGGCCGTGGTTGGCCCAGCGTGGGTCATGCAGCCCTCACTGGAGGAGAGTTTTGGGGATAGGGCCAAACCCTTCTTAGCCAGTTGCTGTTGAGTCAATTCCAACTCATGGTGACCCCGTATGTGTCAGAGTAGAACTATGCTCCATAGGGTTTTCAGTGGCTGATTTTTCAGAAGTAGATCACCAGGCCTTTCTTCAGAGGTGCCTCTGGGTGGACTTAAACCCCCAACCTTTCAGCTAGCAGCTGAGCATGTTAACCGTTTGCATCACCCAGGGTCTCCCATCCTTACTTGGGCCGCCTGAAATAAGAAAACTGTGGGTAGGGAAAAATACCTAAGTCCCTGGCACTGGTACCCTTGGTTAGGTTTAGGGCATCATCACTGGTTCCCTTGGTTATGGTAGTTATCGTGCTGGGTAAAGAGCGAGGATTATCCACTAGGAATTGTCTGGTCCTGACGTGTGAGAAGCCCTCCTGGGAAGGCCTGAGGAGTTACCACGTCAGCATCCCAGTGCCTGTGTGTGCAAAGTGATTGTTCAGTGCCTGAGTATTAGATTACCAAGAGCAAGGACTCAAAGGCCAAAATCCCATTGCCTTGGGTGCTCAGCAGATGTCCAGCATTTTTCATATCTGGGGCCTCTTAAAAACTCGTATGATACTAATACCCAGAGTGGACCATACTAACCTCACTTTATGGAGCTAATACCCAGAGTGGACCATGCTTACCTCATTTTATGGGGCTGATCCTTCATTCTGTGTAGATTTGGGTTTCTAAGGATTTGTACTCCTTTTCCAGCGTTTTACAGGAAACCAAATCGCAAAGATTTTCCAGCAGAACCCCGAGGCCTACTCACTCACAGAGGTGGGTTAAATGTTTACTGGTTTAAAAGACTTAGGACCATAGTCTCATTGGATAACTTAGTCAATTGGCATAACATAGTTCATAAAGATAATGTACTACACCCTTGTTTGGTGAATAGCGTCTGGGGTCTTAAAAGCTTGTGAGCAACCATTTAAGATGTAACTATTGGTCTTTACTCGTCTGGAGCAAAAGAGAATGAAGGACACCAAAGACTCAAAGGAGAAACTAGTTCACAGGACTAACAGAACCATGGCATCTTCTAGCCTGAGACCAGAAGAACTAGACGGTACCCGTCTACTACTAACACCTGTTTTGACCAGGGACACAATAGAAGGTCCTGGACAGAATGGGAGAAAAATATAAAACAAAATTCAAATTCCTAAAACTGGCCAGACCAACTGGAGCAATAGAGACTAGAGGAGCCCCTGAGACTGTCACCCTAGGATACCTTTGGACTTGACACTAAAGTTACTCCTGGAGGTCACCGTTCAGCCAAATAATAGATTGGCGGACAAAATAAACAGTATCATCCGTGAGTAATGTGCTCCTGTGAACAGTCGACTGTGCGAGACCAAATGGTCAACATTTACCCAAAAGCAAAGATGAGAAGGCAAGCAGGGGAAGAGAAGCTAGAGCAATGGAAACAGAACAGAATGGAAATAATAAGAATGCTGATGCATAGTGAAAATTGTAACCAACGTCACAACAATTTGTATAAAAATTGTTAAATGGGAACCTGATTCACTGTGTAAACTTTCACCTAAAACGATATTTTTTTAAAAATCAACAACACAAGATGTATTTACTGATCTGATTAATCAGTAAACTAGAAATTAACTGGCAAAAAAAAAAAAAAAACCTACAATGCTCAAGGCAGACATACTTAACTTATTAAGATAAACTATTTTTTGATTCAAAGAAGACTTCAGGGAATAGTTTTGGTTTAAAGTTTAAAGATTATCTCAAGGTAATAGTTTTGGGAGTTCAGCCAGCCTCAGTGGCTCCAGAAAGTCCGGATTCCATTGAGAATTTTCAATGCTGTTCTGCATTCTTCCCCCTTTTGATCAGGATTCTTTTATAGGGATTCCAGCTGCTGTTAACTAGGATGCTCAGTCTTCTCCATTACTTGGCCATCTTACTTCAAGTTTCCGCTTTCCTCCACAATTTAAAGTTCTTCTCATGTTGTGTGTGTGCTAGAGTGTGTGAAAGTGAGTTACTTCTCACCATGCTTCTTTCTCTTACAGAGGATTTCTTTGGTCAGTAGCTTTGCTGCTTCCCTGTTTCTTGGGTCTTACTCCCCTATCGACTACAGTGATGGTAAGCCTTCTGAGACTTGGTGTGAGCCTGTTCGGTGTGCAGGTGGCGTGGGGGCGGGCAGCATGGATATGGGCACATAGCACAGGGGTAGGCAGCATGGATATGGGCGCATAGTGCGGGGCAGGTGGCGCAGGGTCGGGTGGCGTCGAGGCAGGCAGCATGGATATGGGCACGTAGCGCGGGGGTGGGCGGCGCGGGGGCAGGCAACGTGAGTCTCATCCAGCCTGGGCAGGTGCCAACCTTTCACCCTGTCATCTGTTGCCAGCCAGGGAGTGCATTCATTATCTTTTGCTTCCTGACAAATGACCCCAGCACTTAGCAGCTGAAGACCACAAACATTTATTCTCAGTGTCACATAGTTCCGAGGGCCAGGCATCTCAGAGCGCCTTAGCTGAGCGATCCTGGCTCAGAATCTCTCATGAGGTTGCAGTCAAGCTGTCGACCAGGGCTGCATGCATCTGAAGGCTTGACCGGGGCTGGAGGATCCACTTCCAGGTCATTCACATGACCATGGGCAGGAGGCCTCCTTTCCTCTCCATGTAGGCTGCTCCATAAGGCTGTGAATGACATTGCAGCTGGATTCCTGCCAAGCATGTCGCGAGGAAGAGAGTGGTCAAACAGAAGCTGCAGAGTCTTTATAACCTGGTCTTGATGTGACATATTTTATTGGTCACACAGACGAACCCTGGTATAGCACAGGGAGAGACTACACGAGAGTGTGAATACCAGGAAGTGGATTAGTGGTCGCCATCTTGGAGGTTGGCTACGATAAGGGGTTACTGATGAGAGTTTTTGTTCATTTTTGGGCAACTCATGAGAGTTGTGAGCTTCTGGAATCAAAACTCTGACGAAAATAAGTGCAAACAATGCCGGTGAGGAGTTCTGGAAAGCTGGGGGGAGGTTGCTGAAGGGACTCTTGCATGAGGCTGGACCAAGAGGAATGTGGACAGAAGATGGAAAGAGAGCGCAAAGCAAGAACCCAGACCTATGAAAGTGGCTTCAGAAGGGAATCCTGGAATGCTTGAGCCTCGTGGGGATCCATCTGAAGGGTTTTGAATGCTGATGGGTGCCAGACATCATTCTAGCTTTCAAGGGGGGAAAGTAGGTGATTGAGGTGTGGTCCCCAAGCTTCACTCACAGTGTAGAGAGGACAAGGTTCCATATGGCCACCTTCATTGAACTCAGACTGGCAGAACCCTCAGCTTGGAACAGCCTGAGCATCCATCCGTATTCTCCACACGACCCTGGGGTGGTTAAGCACTGCTGGAGAGAGCCACAACACTGCCCCAGTAGGCATTCCAAGGTTCACCTTCTCCAACCTCAGCTGGGGCCTCCACACTGCTCCCCTCACTCTCACCCAATAAATCGCCTAATTTACCACCTGCCTCACCCCCTAACCTGGACAGGTGATGTCATCAGCATCCCACCCCATCGATGTCTCCCTCTGCTTTGCCCAGTGGAGGAAGAGATCCCACCTCCTGGGCTCTGGGTTCGCTCCCAGCTCCCACCCTCAGAGAGGCCTTGGGGAGTAGATTGTTTTAGGAAGGACCTAGAGAGCTGGTCTCAGTGCTGAGCATGAGGGTGCGTGGAGGAGTCTGAGCGTTCCTGGAGGTGTTAGGTGTGACTGGGAAATCCCCGGGGGCTGACCACATTCCGCACCAGGGCTGCCTCTGAATAGACATTTTGGACCACAGGGACATATTGCTGATTGGCCCCCTCCCCTGGCCAGGACTTGGAGCAGCAGCTTTCTGGGCTGACTATGGTGTTGGAGTCTATGAGGCATATTTGGAGGAGGTGGTGGTGCCATGAGTTTCCAAGGGCCCCGCTGGCTTCTGGTTCTCTGGTTCCGGAAGGACCCAGGCATATTCCGTTAGGGAAGAGCTCCGGGTACGAGTTTGCTGTGAGTGCATCAGCCTGCTCTATATCCTTTTGGTTTTTGTTTCCCGCCTCCCTTAGGTTCTGGGATGAACTTGTTGCAGATACGTGACAAAGTCTGGTCCCAGGCCTGCCTTGGTGCCTGTGCTCCTCAGTTAGCGGAGAAGCTCGGACCGCCTATGCGTTCGTCCTCAGTTGCGGTAGGCGGCTCTGCCAGGGGTGTGGCTCAGTTGGGAGCCAGCAGCTACTGGGGAAGCCGTGCGGTGCATGTCCATAGGCTTCCGTTTACACACAGGTGCACGTGCACGGGGTTTTCAGTCTAGTATGAGACAAGTGTTTGACATAGGTCAGATTAAAGCGTCGGGGTCAGTACCTTGCCCGTGATAGGTGCTCAGCTACATATATAGATTACTGCCTCCTGGCTGGGGACCCCTTGCTGTCGAGTCAATTCCTATTCATAGTGACCCTATAGGACAGAGTAGAACTGCTCCATAGGATTTCCAAGGAGCGACTGGTGAATTCAAACTGCTGACCTTTTGACCAGCAGCCAAGCTCGGGGAGGGGAGGTGGAGCCCTATTGATGCAGTCGTTAAGAGCTTGGCTATTAACCAAAAGGTCGGTGGTTCAAATCCACCAGCCACTCCTTGGAAACCTTGTGGGGCAGTTCTGCTCTGTCCTATAGAGATGCTATGAGTTGGAATCAACTCAAAGGCAAGGGGTTTGGGTTTTGTTTTTTTTTTTTTTGGTGACTAGGGGCAGGAGAAGCTTTGGAAAGTTCCACCAGAAATTTATTAGAATAGGGGAAACAAATCAAAGGCATAATTTCTGGGTGATTCTACACTTGAAAAACACACACAAAATACTGAAATTCTAGGGCTGGGGACCCCCCACTGAAGCTGGAAGCAGGCAGTCTTGGGGGAAAGAAAAAGAAATGACAGTGAGCTTGGTAGAGTGTAGTGGTTAGGAGCACAGACCCTGATGCCAGGTGGCCTGGGGCCGGATCCTGGCTCCACCGTTAGGCAGCTTGTGACTTTGACCTGTGCCTCGGTTTCTTATCTGGAACAATGGGAATCATACTGTCTACCTCATAGGGCTATTTTGTGGGTTATTTGAGTTAATGCTTCTAAAGCACTTAAGATAGTGCTTGGTCCCAGAGGTAATATTAATATCAAAAATATGTAACAGTCAGTGTGGCACCCCCCATTCAGAATAGATGCTGCTGTGAATGACCTGGCATGCCCAGATTGCCCGGTGCTGTTCTTGGCTGTCCTGTATGGAGAATGGAGTAGAGATGCCTGGGCCCTGGCCTGAGAGTCCTTTAGGAGCCTTGGTGGTGCAGTGGTTAAACCGATCGACTGCTAACTGCAAGGTTGGTGGTTGGAACCCACCAGCAGCTCCACAAGAGAAAGATGTGGAAGTCTGCTTCCATAGACATTGACAGCCTTGGAAACCCTATGGGGTTGCTGTGAGTTGCACTGACTTGCTGGCAGTGGGTTTGGTTTTAACGGAGCCCTGGTGGGTGGCACATGTGCACAGCCAGAACCACCAGACACTCAGGTGGGACAGAGTGTTGTGTGTGAGGGAAGGAGAAGCAGGATCCGCAGGCCTGGGGAGAGATGGAGCTGGGAGGATGGGCCCCAGAGCAAAGGGCCCTTGAGAACACTCCCCATTGGGGCTCCCAGTCGAAGCAGGGTCTCAGCCACGGAAATACTTCTCTTCTGAGATTAACGCTGACATGCTGAAAGCAGCCTATGGCGTGTGAGGCAGATCTGAAAGCCAGCCCGCATCATCCAACATATGCATGGGGCCGCGTGCCGTGCGTGGTTACACGTGGAGCGTGGGGCCGCGTGCCGTGCGTGGTTACACGTGGAGCGTGGGGCCGCGTGCCGGGCGTGGTTACACGTGGAGCGTGGGGCCGCGTGCCGGGCGTGGTTACACGTGGAGCGTGGGGCCGCGTGCCGGGCGTGGTTACGTGTGGAGCGTGGGGCCGC